ATTAATCCCTCAATTATATCTTGTACTTAAAGATCATGTTTTCTTTGTTGGAAGTTCGCAATCCATCTCAAAGTAACAACACTGAGAACATAGCGTTCTAGCGTTCGTGTAGGCACCTCACGGTGTTGAGGGATGGTGGTTTAGGTTTGTGTGGCGAACGACAATCACCCAACGACCGACGCTCACAACTTGGATCCCACCATTAACAAAAAGCAATATTATAGTTATATAACTTTTCAGATGTTTTTAATTCAGTATTTTTTTCAATATTCTTCCAAAATTCAACCACTATATTTCCCTAAAAATCAAATAATACCGGTTTTATGTATTTCCGTATTAAACCTGTAGTCAATTCATGTTCCAGGGCCACTTGGTTTAGCCGTGCATTATCAGCCAATATACCATGGATTGCATATGCAAATTTTGTGTTTGAACCAATCAAATCAATGGATTAACACCATCAATATACTGGTATAATATAATATTAGTTATGTCACTGCTGCGTGCCAGTAATTGCTGTTATTTTGTCTGAACCTCTCATATAGCAGCGATAAAAAAATGGTACTGTTGCATAATTGCATGGTTTTCTCTCCATACTGTTTAAGTTCTAAATTGTCACATTTAGTGTAACATGATTTCAATTAACATCACTACTGTGAATGATATACACCATGGTCATGTGATAAGCTCTGATATACCCCTTGAAAGCCTAGGTAAAAGATAATTGTACATTAAATTAGTCCCCCACATATTACAATGATTATGGATCACAGTGTACATGTATGTGTATATATCTCCACGCAACCCTGCAGCTTCCTGAGCAGGCTTGGAGTTTTAAATATAGTGTATTAAGATATGAAACTTTGCTGTTGATGTTAGGATTCCCTTGGTGGCACTGCCCATGCCTGTATGGTGACAAACATCGCACCGGAAGAGAGAAACTACATGGATACGTATACAACATTAAACTTTGCTGCTAAGTCCAGACAGATTGTTAATAAACCATTCACTAGAGAAAGTACAGAAAAACCCAGCAGAGTAACATTGAAGAGGAAAGCCTCAGATGAACACAGACCCTCAGCACCTGCTAAGAAGATGGCTTCACAGGAGAGCACTCCAATAGTTAATGCTAGAGTGAATGTGTTGAAACAACAGGTATTGCAGCCATTCTTGAGGTGAGATAGGGTTCTAAATTCCTTAGTTCATATGCCCCATCAGAATGAATGATTTGGTGTGCTTCAAAATAGTTGGATATTTTCATCACAATATATGTTTTTGCCAGGCATATATTTGGGTATTGTGGTTCTTGTGGCGACTATAGATCAACGAAATATCTGAAACAGAAACTATTTTACCATTTGTCATGCACTTTACCAGTATACAGAATTGCAATAACAAAAAGATTTTAAATAAATAAGATAATTATTATGTGTCCATGGTGGCTACCAACATTGTATAATTGCTGTTTCAATTTTCTTGATATTTCAGTCCTATTCTGAGGAAACATGATCACTTTGCTGAGAGTGTGGTCAGCAGATTAGAAAACTTAGAACGTAACATTCTAAATCACATGAAACAACCAGTGCAACCAGTTGTGCCACCACCACCACCACAGGAAAATCAACAAGACATACTCAAACAGCTGAAGAAATGTCGTGAACAGTTGAAAGAAGTACAACAGCAGAACCAGAGACTTACTAAAGAGAAGACTGAAGAGGAAGTGTTGACAAGTGATTGTCTGTTTCAAAGAGTTCCACTTATAAAAAAGAAGAGTAGAAGTAAATTGGGTACAAGATGTGATGAACCATCGTACTCAGGTACAGTATGACTTTTGCACAACCAATCATTATATTCGCATCATATCATGCATATACCGTATCATGGTTGTGCTTTTATCACCAACCCTAACCAGGTTATTGCGTTTGAGTTGCACATTTATTGTCTTTACATTGATTTGTGTGGAACATTGTAACTTGTGAGAAAGTTGGTCCCAACCAAGTGCCTTCTAATTGTATACATTTCTAGCTGGCTTGAAGTACTTTCTCTATTTTGTTTCCTTTCTCAATTTCCAACACTCCAGAACTTCAATTTACAGGTTGTTCTCAGAAGGACAGAAAACCACTCAGTGCCGTGAATGGAGTTTCCACAGATGTGCAATTTGTAAAAATTATCCCAGAATGCAACTCAGTAAGTAAGGTAAAAAAATATACTAGTCAGTATAATTATTGCGGTTTACACTGGCATCATTTTTTGTCTGTACTTTCAATATGCAAATGACTTTAAAGTGACACTGTCACTGTGCCCCATCATGTTTGATATTGGTCCCACGTATGGTGTAATACAAGAGGGTTTCCACCTGCTTACGTAGTACTGTATGTGGGACATATGCACATGCAGTGGTTTAGCGATTCAATTGAAAATGGCCGACTGGCAGCCATCTTGTTTTTTTTAAATGTGGTATCTTAGACGTGCTTTGTCAGTTTTCATTCAAATTTTGCACATATCTTATACATGTTAGGATACATGTCAGGACAATTTGTTTCAAAATCGGATCAAGGATTGCCGATTGACAGCCATCTCACTTTTTGGCCTTACTGCTATATTTCCAAGATTTATGTACCATTTTAATTTGTATTTGGCACATACATCATACATGTCACTTTGTGTCATTATCATATCAAAGATGGCCGAATAACGGCTGTTTTTATTTTTGACCATATTACTATATCTCTGTCACCTATTTATCATTTTCATTGATATTTAGCATGTTATAAATGGATACATGTACATGTCAATTCAATTTGCAATTTGATCAAATATGGCCGACTGGTGGCCGTCTTTTTTGTTTAAAATGTGATTACTTGGACATGCTTTCACTTGTGATCTGTTTTTCTTTGCTATGTCTTAAACTGGAGGGGTCATCACACAACACATGTTCGAATTTGATGTATATAAACAATCTGTTGCATACGCCACTTTGGACTCAAGTTTTAAGGACATGCTCGCGACAACCCCTCCATTTTAATATGACGAGCACAAAGAGAACTTTCAAAAATTTAACGGGACTGTGTCATTTTCAATGACTTGTTCTCTGTGGGATGAGTGTTTTATTAATTTGTTCATGCACATGTGTAAACATTCATTTTTGGCTATTAATAAAAGACAGTGCCTTTTTCTTTGTTTGTAGGAAAGTAACGATGCTCTGGATGTAAGTGGAACAAATTGGACCGTCAAACTAAATCCAGAATTACAAGAAAAACACAGTATGCTAAGTTTGTATAAATGTTTATCCCAGGATTCAGATTTCATTGACATTCAGTTAACAACTCAAGCACCAAAGTCAACCTTTGTCAAGTTTCACAAAATAAAACTCAATCATTTTTTCTAAAATTTTAATCAAAACATGTATTCATGCAAAAAAATTACAAAAAAATACATAAAATTTGGAAAAGCAACAACTGTTTGGTAGGAAAAAGCTATGGCTCTCAACAGGTTAATGTTTGTAGTTATAGCCTGGCACAAAAATGTTTCACTCAGTTTTTGACACTGTAAATAACCTAAGAATGTTAGTGTGTCCATTTTAAAAGTTAATTCTAGGTATTAAATTATGATTGTGCTAATTCTGGTGATGTGGCAAACGCATTTTTGTTATTTTAATTAAGCTTATCTTAAGGTAGTGAGATAGGAAATTTTCACTTTTTTCTTGATTTTTCAAAAATTTATAAACGGTTACTTTAGACCTTGATACATCACCCAAGGTTTACAAAAGATCGAAATTGCGAAATAACGTTGCTCAAATTAGTGTTTTAAAACACTAGCAGAAAAGACTACAACTGCCGTTTCGTGGATATTTGCATAGTGTTTATCTTTGAAAGGGTTTAAATGATAACATCTTAGCTGTATACTCTGTTGTTGACGATTCTGATATAACCGTGA